TAGCAAATTTAGGAATTTAAACTCTACCCAACTTGATTCATGCATCAAATTTATACTCTTGTTCAAACAATTCACTAAATGTATCAAAGAAGGTTGAAATCCGACTTACCCAGCTGAAAAACGCACCGAAAGACTGAGATTTTTCGATTAAAGTGACCGGAAGTGAACTTCAAAGCCAAAACCCACTGCAGCCGGCGATAGCTTGACTGGAGGAGACAACAATGGAGTATCAAAGGCTGCTGGCAATGAGAGAAGGTTCAGTCTCATCGGCTTGCGTTTGATCTCGCCGGAAAAATAAAAGAAAGCGGTAACGCGATAGTACCGATCAAAATGGGATAGGGGGAGGTTTCTAGAATTGTTTAGGTTTTTTTTTTTTTTTTTTTTTTTTTTTTTTTAGGCGAGGGCTGCTGCAGTGAGGAGGTGACAACGAGGTTGGCGATGGTCTCAGGTGGTCGGGGAAAGAAAAACCAAAAAGGAGAGGGGGAGGGGGGTGTCGCGCGCATGGCGCTGGCGCAAGGAAGAAGAAGGGAAAAAGAGAAAAAGAAAAAAAGGAAAAGAAAAAAAATCTTGGGGCTTCTAGACCATTCCGGTTCAATTCGAACCGGTTTGGTCTAATTTAATGATTCGCCTTGATTTTTGCTCAGTTTGCATGTTTTTTTTTTCACTTGGTTTTCAAGCTATTTGTGTGGTTTTCGAAAGATCAATTTGGTTTTTAAGGCCCGGTTCGATTTATTTTAATTATTTATCCATAATGATTTTCTCCATCACTCAATATAGACATTAAATATGAACAAATATGATATTTGATTTTTAGATAATTAATTTAATATATATTCATAACAGATTAAATGCTTTCATATTATTTCTTGAAAATTGTTTAACAGTTCTCAAATGCGAAAATATTCTGACAATATATTTAGGCTTGGGCCAACTCACGAACACTTTGGACCCAAATTAAGATGTTTAGAGTCGTTTAAGCCCCATATTGAATCAAAAATCGAAAAATTTGATTAAATAAAAATTTAAAAAGTTTAAAATAAAAAATTCGGAAGTATTTCAAGTAGTCTCTTCCCAAATTTAAGATTGTTTGGTGTTTAAAGCCCATATAATCAAAAATCGAAATTTTTGATTTAATAAAAATTTAAAAGTTTTGAAAATAAAAATTCGGAGTATTTCAAGTAGTCTCTCCAATTTTTAATATCTAATTTATTATTATTTTGAAATGTTTTGGTAATTGTTAACTGTTTTAGAAGCTATTTGTGTAATTTTTCATGAAACCCTAAAAACTAAATATTATATGAGTTAACTTTTTTAAAACGTTACATTGACTTCTAAAAGTTAGTTTAAACGCTATATTATCGAACATTATAAAAAAATAGTGTGTAACGTTTTTACTAATCAATCAAAATGTTAAAAACTACTTAAAAAACTGTTACCGAACACAACCTTTATATTTATCTAATAAGATACTCAAAATTCCTCCACTCCACCATTCTTCAAAGAAATTGAATATATAAACTTAATTAACATATTTTAATTTGTACTAAAATGAGCATAAAAATTATTTCTTAGATGAAGCATAAGAAGTTTATTAACGATTTTACTATCAAATTTAGAATTTTATTTTTATTTGTTATATAAGATTTTGAAAAAAAAACATTTATATCCTTAATATATATATATTAAAATTTATTTATTTTACATTAAAATAAATAAAATTGTGGAACACATGCAACTCTCTACAAAGTGTCATTGGAAATAAGTAAATAAATGAAAAAATAAATAAATTGCTTATATTATATGAGGCCTACCCTTGTCTTGTTTAGTTGTTTTGTAGTTAACTTACTTTCTAGGTTTCAAACTTTGCTAACATAAGCAGCTTAATTTTCAAACCATCTTAGATGGATAAAACAAAAACTATTTTTTAAATTCATGAAAATAATAGTCTAAAGTCTATATAATGGTTCAATTTTCCTTTTTCTTTTTCTAAGAAAGTGAGTACTTCAAATTAATAGTCATGTAAATATTTTATTTATCTTATTATATAATATATTTTACACATTTTTTTCTATTTGCTTTTACTAAAATTTTTATTCATCGAGAGGTTGAATAGACTGAAATAATATTACAGACTGCAGAATAAGTGTAACTCTTTTTTATCACAAAATTAGTAAAAATTTTTGTGATCGAAAAGACTCGAATTTAAAACATCTCACTACTCACATTTGTGAGAAATTCAGTTAAATTAAAGACTGACTGTCTATTTTTAATAAAGTCATATATAAATTTTGGATTTATTATTTTATTAAAATTAATTTTTAATTACAAATATATATTTATTTATGGATATAAATTAAATGCACTAACAAACCAAATAATTGAAACATATCAACCGTATTAAATGCGCATTTTATTTTATAGAGCAAATGACTAAAAAACCTGATTATACATATATAGGCGCTTTTGCATATCACCATATTTGCATGTCTTACACGTGTCGAATGTTGCACGCCAGTGATTGTGGTTGGTGGTGCTCTTTATTATCCTCAATCGATTATTCAATTTTACCATTTTAAGACAATTTTTTATTCTTATAATTATCTTATTTTATTAATTTAATAAAATTCTTTTTATTAGTCCTCTAATTTTATTTCGACCTCATCAATATTTAATTAATTTAAATCAAACTAAATAACTAATGATTTTAAAATAAATAAATTAAAAATTAATTAAAGGACTCAAAAGAATGCAAGCATAATTTTAATTATCCTTATTAGTTTAGTCAATATTTGTCATATATTTACCAATATTTTAATTTTAGGATTTGAATAATAAATTTTTTGTCATGGTAAGTACTCTATTAGTCAATAATTATATGTATTTTGAATTAAATAAAAGAATATAAATTGCATAAAAAATCATACACATCACATAATTGTAGTGTAAAAATGCCTAATTTCCATAATTCCATTTTTTTTTTTTGTGATAATTTACTTGTGGATTTGAAGAAATGAGAATTACAGTTAAAAACAAACTCATATAATATTTTATTAATTGTTAGCTTTTGTTGCAGCAGTTATTCTACTAGTTTTATACCGTTATTAAAATTAAAAAAAAGAAAAGATTTAATCATATAATTAATAGGAATAGAGATCAAAATGCTAAAAGATATTTCAACATCGCGGTCATATAATCGATACAAGTCAAATAGCCTCCAACAAAAAAAAAAAAAAAAAAAAAAAAAAAAATACAAGTCAAATATGATGGCCCTAGAAGTCTAAGCAAAGAAAAAAAAAAAAAAAAAAAAAAAAATACAAGTCAAATAGTGATGGCCCTAGAAGGTAGCAAATCAATAATTTCCATGTGAGAACCACGTGGATATATTGTTGCAACACACACTTATGAAATCATGAATTAATCATATGTTCATATTGCATATAAATCCTTTGTAAAAAAACATTATATTAATAACAATATACATATAATTAATTTTATTATTTTAATCATATCCATTAATTATTAATTGTGGATCCCAATTCAAAATGGGAACTTAATATACACATAAAAACTTATAACCACTCTATAAATCATCTCAAACTGAATTAAACTGATTCAATTCTTTCTTTTTCGGTATATTTAATTTAATGTCTTTCGACTTATTCTAACTTTCTATAGTTCACAAATATAATAGATTGATAAAGCATTTATCAACCATTCAATGCAAAAATTAAAACGCGCGTCTTATAATATTAGTGTGCTTCAAATATTTGTCACATATCGCATTTTAAACATTAATAACTTTGAGACAATTATCATTAAATCGCAGTTTATTAATGAAATTTAATATTTTTTATAGAAGGAAAAATACAAAATTTTTTATTTGGTTTTCCTTGGATTTTAAGAGAAATGTATTGTACCATGTGGTGGTGGAGGCAGAGGGAAGAGTAGAGTTAAAGCAATACAAAGAAGCCTTTATACCACCTTCAAAGAGATCAACTCCATAGGAAGATGCATTGCAACTAATAATGTTGCTCATAAATCAATCTAATGCTTCATTTACAAATTGGTTCATTTTTCAATACATATCCTGAAATTAACTAGTTAAGAATGAGTTTAACACTATGGAATAAGACAATTAGCCGTAAGATGATTGTAATTAATTTTTCAACTCTCAACTATTTGAAAGGAAACATATAAGAAGCAACCAACACCACCAAATCTAATTAGTTCTAATATATTATTATATATAAAGAAAAATAATATAATTATTTAATTAATCAATGAACAAAATCAACAAATTAATTAATTAATTAATAGCATCAACCGTCATTAAGTAATAATCCAATTTACTAGAAGTCTAAGTGGCCCATGCCATACACAAAGGAAAATGTAGAAGTCTAAGTGGCCCATGCCATACACAAAGGAAAATGACCAAGTCTAACTAATTAATTTTACTTTTAGTTTATTTTTAGTTATTTATAAATAATGGATTAATTTTTTTTATTTATAAATAAAATTGAATATAAATCTTCTATCTTTTAGATGTGAAATATTTCTAATAAAAAATAACTTTTATTTAATTATTTTCATAGTCATATATGTAAAATCATGTCCTCTTAAAAGAAATATTTTTTATTATCTTCAACAATATATTTTAAGAAATAATTGACAAAAATTATAAATTCAATTTTTGTAATTCCTCAAAATAAAAAGTTAAAATCAAATTCTTGGATTTTAAATAAATCTAAAATATTTTTAACTTATATTTATTTTTCATCCATGAATGTATACGGTATATTTTTGACATTTTGTTCATAGTTGACTATTGAAGAGAAAGTATATACTTAATTATTTTTTATATTCTCTAAATTTATTTATATATATAGTCACATGATATTATCCGCACGCCATTTTGTCGGTCCAAAATTACTTCATACTATTTATTTTGCATGTTTTATTATTATTATTTAATTAAACATTAATCACTTATTCACCGTTCCGCATTTTTTTTAATTTAAAAAATATAAGAAAACAGAGTACGCGTTTTCCAAAGCTAATTCTCTTTCTCTGTTTTTTTTTCTCTTCACGTTCTATTCTTTGGTCTAATAAACCAGCTCAACGAACATGGTTTTTGAAAAATCTGTTTCTCTCTCTTTTCTGTTCTTCTTCATCCTCTGATTACTGTGATTCTTTTAATTATTTTTAGTAATTTTATTACGCTCAGATATTTCCATTTTTGAGTTCTTCTTGACTTCAATGCATATCTTGAGCTTTTTAGATTCCTCTTACTAATATTCAAAGTCCATATCTATTATTGCTTGTTTGGATATTAGCTTGTACTTATCCTATTCTTCGTTAATTAATGGAGAAGAGGAACTGGAAATTCAGCAGATTCGGTGTTTTACTTCTGTTTTCGCACTACCAGAACTTGATTTTGTGTTGGTCGCTCAATGATGAAGGTAGGTACCTAATGTTTTTAAATTAAAAAAATTTTTTTTTTCTGTATGTTTCTTGGGAAAATGGAGGCGCCAAGAGAAAATCCAAGTTAGTGAAATTTAATTGTGGAAATATCTTTGTTGTAGGTTTGGCTTTGTTGAAGTTTAGAGAGAGAATTGTGAGTGATCCGTACGGCGCGTTGAAGAACTGGAACGATGTGGATGGAGTTGTTGATCCGTGTTCTTGGAATAGAGTTGAGTGCTCCGATGGCAAAGTTGTAATCTTGTATGTCTCTACCTCTATGGATTGCTTGTTTTAGCTTTTCGCTGTAAAAATTTGACCTTTATGGTATTTTCTGTTTGTTTGCTCATTCTTATTATTATTGTTATTTTGAGAATAAGGATAATGGATGCTCTCATAAATTTCTTCATCAAGTTTGTAATTACTGAAGCTGGTGAAGTAAGTCAGCGATGAAAACAAGTGCTTATTTGTTTCAAAAAGCAATCATTAACCTTTTTTTTAATTGTTCTTTTGCAGTCTTGGCAGTCTCAATCAAAAAAAGCTTCTTGGTTAATTTAGCTAGTGTATTTCTAATGCCAAAAACAATTTTCTTTGAGTCATTATAAATATAGGAAGAGAATTTGGTTATAAAATAGTCTGCATGGATAGTGAATTTGCAAAAGTATTTACTAGTTTGAAATACAAAAATTGGACCTTTGAGATTTACTTCTTACTTAATTCAAGCTTTAATTCAAGCATGGGAATATCATTCTGTGCCTGATTTAATTCAGAACTTGAATCTGGATTAAATTTGCCATTTTCCAAATTATAGAAGATAATGAATGTGTGTATGTGTGTGTGTATATATTTAATACTGGTTTGTAAATGGTGTTGTGTGGTATTGCTATCCAGTGCTGCAGAATTATTAGTACATCCTTCAAAATGTCATCACACCAGGTGCGATGGTGCCTGAGAAACCCAACTTGTTCCCTAATGATACTATATAAATTTGACAACCTACAATCTTAGAGTTTTACATTGCTTTAAAAACTTGCCTTTAGTTTGATACAAAGTTAATGGATAAAAATTTATCCTTGAAAAAAATAAAAGAAAAGAGAACTTGGATAAGAACTAAATTATTGCGGAGCTCTTTTTACTTAGTCGTTGTCTTTACAATAATATTGCTTGCTGATATGTCCTTCATTGATCTTAAATAAAAATGTATAATGTGCAGGAACTTTAAAGATCTTTGTCTCGGGGGAACATTAGCTCCTGATCTCAGAAACCTTATCCACATAAAGTCTATGTAAGTATTAGCTAGGTACATTAAAAAAAAAAAAAAAAAAAAAAAAAAAAAAAAAAAAAAGTTATTAACTAGGTAGCTACTATTTGGAGATTTTCTTCTTCAAGATAATTTTTTTTTTCAAATTTTCTGTTTGGCCTTATCACTTCTTGTTCACTGCAGAGTTTTGCGGAACAATTCTTTTACTGGTATCATTCCTGAAGGTCTTGGAGAGTTAAAGGAGTTGGAGGTGCTAGATTTTGGATATAATAACTTCAGCGGGCCACTTCCACCTGATCTTGGCAATAATCTCTCGCTAGCAATTCTGTGCGTTCATAATGTCAAACAAAATCTTTGTTGGGATTATCTTGTGCTTCTATTAGTATATTAACTGAATTTTTCTGCCAATGTTTTAGTCTTTTGGACAATAATGGGCTTCTTGGTAACTTATCACCTGAACTTCATGAACTGAAGATGCTTTCTGAAACTCAAGTGGATGAAAACCAACTATCTGGCAGAGCTACAGAATCATCTTGCAACAAAAGATCTGCTACACGGTACGTCACTGCCATCAAATTGTTCTCTTAAACAGCACTAATCATTTTCTTTGTTCTCACACACCTTTTGATGTTTTCGTGATTTTTTTTTTCTTGTGTTTCCTTTTTATTCTTCTGATTTTAATCTTTCTTCTGATTTTTCAATCTAGATTATTTCTTTGCTATGACATGCTCTTATTGCATTATGCTGTCTTCCACAAATTTTTTTACAGGAATGCGGTACAAACTGAAAATGCAATTAACAAGCGACAGCTGCAAACCAGTGGCCCTCGAGAATCACCATATTATCGAAATAATATCTTAAATCCATTTCCGTCTCCACCACCATCTGTATCTTCACGTTCTTCCCCTAATGTGACTGCTGCTTCTCTACCACCAAATGCACCTTCCCCTTCGCCAAATGTTTCCGCCTCTGTTCCGCTTTTAGCTCCCATTCCTTCATCCTCAAATAATTCTAGAAAATCTTCCCCTTCACCAAATGGTTCCACCTCAAAGCCTCTTTTATTTCCAACTCCTTCACCCTCAAAAAATCCTGGAAATCGTTCCTCTTCAACAAAGAAGGTTGCAATAATTGCTGGAGTTATAGGGGGGGCGCTACTTGTCATTTCAATTATCAGCATCTCTTTCTGTACAATTAATAAGACCACTGTCAAACCCTGGGCCACGGGATTGAGTGGACAGCTTCAAAAAGCATTTATAAATGGTAATTCTTCTTTCTAGATGAAAAAAAAAAAAGTTAAATTTATGTATTTATCTTTAATATTATCTTTGCCATTTAAAGGAAAACAATAAGGCATTAGTTGTTGGATGATGACAAATGTTTCTGAAAGTTGATACCTGCCAATACTCCTGTATAGAAAAGCAGGTGTTGCATATCTTGTTCCAAATACCATATAATTAGTCAAGCTAAATGTTAGGGAGATAAGAAAAAGGAGAAGTATTTTTGGTAACTACTAGTCAGGTGCTTGCTTTCTGTTGTAAGAGTTTAGAGCTTTGATTGCTGATGTCCTCTCCTGTTTAAAAGTTTCTGATGTGGAAAAATTGATATTTCATCCTAAAACATGAATTAGATAACTGTAATTATCTAACATTTTGAAAATTTTGTGGTGGCTGCAATAGATCTTAATGCTTAACCATCTACATGTACATCTAGAGAACAAGCTGGTCCACAACTTTCTGTTTCTTTTAGTTTGCTATTTGCATCATTTTTTTTTTTTTTTGTTCAACTCTTTTTCTATCTATTTATATGCTTCAGATTTGCATTTCAGGTGTACCAAAGCTTAAGAGATCTGAGCTTGAAGCAGGGTGTGAAGATTTTAGCAATGTAATAGGTTCTTCACCAATTGGTACTCTCTACAAGGGAACATTGTCTAGTGGAGTTGAAATAGCTGTGGCTTCCATTGCAGTTGCATCTTCCAAGGATTGGCCTAAGAATTTAGAAGCTCAATTTAGGAAAAAGGTACTCTACAAACCCTTGTGAACTATATGCATTTATGGTGCAATCTGACATTCTAATTCCTTCTGTATTTATGTTTCAGATTGAGACATTATCAAAATTGAACCACAAGAATTTTATCAACCTTCTTGGATATTGTGAGGAGGAGGAGCCTTTCACTAGAATGCTTGTTTTTGAATATGCTCCAAATGGAACGCTCTTTGAGCATTTACATAGTAAGCTCTTAACATTTGGTATTGTTACAGATAGAAATTATCACAGGCTATTATTCAACTACTATTAAATCAGTTTAAAAGCCATAATTCAGAGATTAATCATTCTAGAATAGTGCATATAGCTTATATAATTAACACTTACAAATGAACAAAACTCATGTCTTTTTCTTTTGTCCCCTAGTGTAGATAATAGGACTTCAATAACAAATATAATCTTATTGTATAAATGACCTTGATAGCCTCCCATTTGAGAATATAATATGATAAAGAAATAAAAAAATAGTACTTTAAATTCTCACATGACGGCAATCTTATAGGTTCAGGATTAGTGAACTACTGGAATATTAGTTATTAACATTTCTTTCTTAGTTTCCTAATATGAATAAAGAAGCCAATTAAAAAAAACAATAATAATAAAGAGGACAACCTTTCATTCCAGGCAAGCATTAGAAATTGCATGTGAAATTAATAATAATAACAAATTAAGTGTTTACTTTGTATATACGCTTCTTTATGGAATTGCAGATGCAGAAATGATATTGCTTCCCTGATTTGCAAACATTATGACACATACCATTTTTCTAAATTAGATAACCAAATGATCTTTTTTTCCCTAACAGACATTTTGTTTTCACTTTCTCTACTTTTTTTATGAAATAAAGTTTATAGTGCTCCACTATTATGCTTTGCAATATTTGTATCCCTGGGCCAATAGGATATGGCGCTTTTGAAAATTATAATATTCAGTGAGCTCTTGCCCCTAGGGGGAGAGAAAAGGAGGAAAAAAAAAAAGATTTCTTGCCCCCAGTGAAAGAATGGGGGAAAATTTACTCTGGTTCAACTCTCTCCCTCCATCTTCATTGTCTGCTTCATTTGTATTCATTTTTATAATAGATTTTTCATCTCTATCGATGGTTATTGCAGTTAAAGAATCGGAGCACCTGGACTGGGGAATGAGGTTGAGAATTGCAATGGGCATGGCTTACTGTCTTGAGCATATGCATCAGCTGAACCCACCATTAACTCACAACAATCTGAACTCCTCAGCCATCTCTCTCTCCGAAGATTATGCAGCCAAAATTTCAGATTTCAGTTTTTCAAATGTGATAACTGCAACTGAGACAGAAACATCTGGCAAGAAGCTCTTAGATTCTCCAACTGTGCAACCAGAAAGTAACATTTATAGTTTCGGTGTACTATTATTCGAAATGGTAACGGGTAGGTTACCATACTCAGTGGACAATGATTCACTTGAAGACTGGGCATCGGACTATTTGAGTGGGGACCAACCCCTTAAAGACATGGTTGATCCTACTCTTGATTCCTTTGAAGAGGAGAAACTAGAAAGAATTGGTCAAGTGATAAAATCTTGTGTGCACCCAGATCCTAAACAAAGACCGGAAATGAGAGAAGTTACTGCCACATTAAGAGAGATTACAGGAATAACACCTGAGGGAGCAACCCCAAAACTCTCTCCTCTTTGGTGGGCAGAGCTTGAAATTTTGTCAACAGATCAAGATGCTAGCTAAGTATATAAAAGACCAGACTGTAAGTATGAGCTCAATATCTCATTGTTAGTAGTGTTGGCGAGGCACAAAACAAGTTGCCTGTAAGTTTTATTTCTTTGTATCTATTATCATAGGCAATCAAGAGTTGCTTGTAAATAACTTAGGAAGGGTGCAAAGATCTGGAAAATTTTTCACATTCTTTTTTTTTTTTTTGACCTTTTCCTGTTTAGAATTTGGGTGTGAATGCACTACAAGCATATCAATGACTAGTTGGTGATCTCTCTCTCTCTCTCTCTCTCTCTCTCTCTCTCTCTTCTTTGTGAGTTGTTAATTACTGAATGATTAAAAAAAATGATTAATATGTATTTTAGACTAATTCAACCTTGGACATTAGCTTATTGCATTCTGTATACTCTTTCAAATGTGTAATTTCCAGGCAGGGCAGCTGGTAGAACAAGAAAGTTTTGAAGGTCAACTCCATAGCTAACATATAAATTGTCTAACTTTTGGGCTTATCATGCCAGGTCATAGAAAGAAGAATCGCTTGCGCGTATCTCATTAGAATATGTTCACTTCCCTTTTCTTTTTTTTATTTATTTCAAGATATAATATTATTTACCGTTTAAGAAGAAATAATCTTTATATGTTTCTATTTTATCTTCACTTTATATGCATCTTGTGAACATAAATTTTACTTTGCTATTAATCAAATCTTGAAATAAACTAATAAAATATGAATTTTTCATATTTCTTGTTTAGGAAATAACTACAAGGGTAATTATAAAACAATTAAATAAAAAATTATCCTTTAACTATATTATCTATATTTTCCTATTCTATATAAAAGTGAAATTAAGCATTATTTTCAGAATTGAGGGAATTATTATTAAGGGGAAAATAAGGACAATGTATATTTAGGTTAATTTCAGTAATTGTAAGAAATTCTCATTTAGCTTTAGTCAGTAAACTTTATAAAATTTTTATTACATAATAGAATAAATCATAGAACTTCTTAGCAATCATTGAATAGATAAATAATAAAGAGCTGCAATTTCAAATAAATAATATGAAGAAAGTGGCCTTCATGTAAATACCAACTTCTAAACAATTATAATGGTTGACACGCAAAACTTAGTAGCTCCCACGTCAATCTAAAGCATCAAGCTCTCTTATAAATTCCATACTATGTGCAAATAGCCCTCTAACCTACAGCAACTTTGCTTACTACTCTCTAATAAGATTCAAAAACGTCTCCAAGAACATGGCAATTAAACATCTCTCAATTGCCCTATTCTGTCTCTTTCTTCTCCAACTTACTTTCCCTTCAATGGCTTCCTATGAAACCAACCAAGCTGAACCAGAAGAAAAGAAAGTTGATGTAGTTGTTGAAGGGATGGTATATTGCCAAAGTTGTGACCATTATGGTTCATGGTCTTTCAATGGGGCTAAGCCAATTCGTTCTGCTAAAATTAGTGTAATCTGCAAGAACCATAGAAAGCAAGTTAGTTATTATAAGGCAGTTGAAACTGATGAGAATGGTTATTTCTATGCACAACTTGATGGTTTCAAAATGGGTCATAGTCTTTTAGACCATCCTCTCCAATCTTGCCATGTAAAGCTGGTTTCATCTCCTCTTGCAAATTGCAGCCTCCTTTCTAATGTTAACTATGGAATCTATGGAGCTCCTCTTCGTTTTGAGAACAAGATTCTTAGAGGAAGCCATTATGAAGCAGTGGTTTATAGTGCTGGTCCCTTGGCTTTCCGTCCAGCTCATTGTTCTCCTGAATCTCATGTCTAATTTGATAACAAGGCACTTCATTCTGGTTTCTTTTTCTTCTCTTATTGTTGAATTTGACTTCTTTTTTGATAAATTCGATTTTGTTGCAATGTAATTTCGATTTCTTCAAAATAAAGAAAAGTCATAAAAAGTTGTTTTGATTTGTTTTCTAAGCTCAATAAAAAACAGAAAAACAAAAAATCAAAAACCTGAAACAGAAATGATATTTAACACTTCCTAAACTCGAAATTTCTTCACCAAAGGATGCAACTAAGAACAGGATAACATAATCGTTATTTCTCATTGCAATAAGAAAAATTCCAAACGATTCTGACAAAACTAGGAATGTCATTACCAAGCATTTCAGACACACCAAAGCATCTTTCATTCAAGATCAAAACTGTTAAAATTTATATTAGCTTATGTTTCCTGCCATGTCTAGCACGCAAGCTCTAAAGTCTAAACTACCACAGGAAGTTCCATAACCGGCTTGTCCATTCCGGCCTGGCTTTGATCTGGATTCTAAAAAACACATGGAAAGATGGAAAAGAAAAAACACTACAAAAGAAGAACAGAAAACGCTTACAACACATCAATCCTGCATCTCTACAGAAGAAGCAAGCCTCTCTACGACAGCAGCAGGAGAAGCAGGCATCCACGGAACACATATCATCACCAGTAACAGCAGAATCAGAGGCATCAGCAGATGCTTGAATCTCTAATGCTATGTTTGGAAAGGGGAGGAAGTAAAATTAGAGAGGAAGGAAAATAAAAGAGGTCAAAAAGAGAGGATTGTTACTTCATTTTCCCTTATTATTGTCCACCCTATGATTGATTAGGAAGAAAAATAAGAGGGAGGACGAAAAATAATATTCCTATAAATTTAAATTTTTTTTTTTTTTTGGAATAGTAAAAATTTCCCTCCATTTCATCACTTTCTCTCCAATTTGGAGAGATCGAGAAATTGTGGGACCAAGTTGTCACATTTGTTCCAAAATACTTGTCATATTTGTGGTTTCAAGAAGTAATAATGTTTATTCTCATGTTTATCTTTGTATATGATCAATAATTATTACTTTAATTTAATGGTTTTCTTGGATAATTAGTATTAAATTAAGGGTAATATAATCAATTTACTCTATAACTACTTGTAACTTAGACAAATTTAATACTTCCTCCGTTCTTTTTATATAGGAAAAGTTTCTATTTTGGGTGTTCTTTCTATATAGGAAATTTTGCCTAATTTGATAACTTTGAGAACCATGTCAATGTAAAAAGTTTATCTTATCCTTATTTTAGTCCTTTGTGAAGCTTTTAATGTGAAAGATTTTCAAGTTAGCAGCAGACAAAAGTATAGATGAATTTTTAATGTGAAGAAATTTTAGAGAATTGATTTTTTACTTCAATTTTCATTGAAAAAAAAATGTGCTTATATAGATGATTTGATTGTTGATTAAAATGGAGTTTGAATAGAAATGGCCACAAAATTTTTAGATCGACCACAATGAAAGGAATCCTTAAGAATTTCGTTTGAATATTTAAAAAATTATGTGATATTTAAACTATGTTTTCAATAACCAAAGATAATTGGAAGGTTAAAGGAGTAAAATTTAAAATTTCCACACAACTTTCCAAAATAAAGAACCAAAAAACGAATTTTTCTCCACAAGTCAAAGCATAAACTTTATTTTTTACAAATATTTTTATTCTCTCCGTTCCAACAAAGCATTTAAAGCATCATTGAAGATTGAAACATAATTTAGAGCATACATTGATATTAGAGAGAGAATAAATGAGATATTAGAGGTAAATTAGAAAAAAAAGAGAAAAAAAAGTTGGTTAAACTACTTTCTTAATCTTGATGAAAAATTAGTTATTCGTGTATAAAAAAACAGAGGGTGTAATTTTCTCAAGAGACGTAAAATTCTAAATGTTACATGTATTATGTAACAGGAGTAAATGGTTTTACTTCTTTTGATATCACTTTATTATGATGTATTTTTTTCTTTTCAATATGAAAGAGAAAATAATTTATGAGTAGAAGGTAGTAAGGAATTGAATGCTACAAAATTAATGTAATTAATTAGTTTAGTAAGAATGAAAGTTTTTATTTTTTTTTTATCAATCATAATTCAATATTATTGAGAGTATTCCAAAAATAATAGTTTTAAATGCAACCGATGCATTATATTATTGTGGAAGAATGTAATATTTTTAGATATAAAAGAAAATATAATTTTAATGCGTGTAGATTGAGCGTTTCATTCTAAATATAATAAAAAACTATTCAAAATTGAGCAATTTTATTTTCAAAAATTAATTGTGAGGTCCTTAAAATAATTTTATTAATATTTTAGTTTTTTTCGTTCAAAATAGAAGGAGCAAAGTGTTAAGAAAAAATTATAAGAGAAGGACCAAAATATTAATGGAAATTATAAGTTATGTACTTTATTGTTACTTCGACTGTAATTTGGCGACTAAGTTAGTAGTCAATTGTTAGTTAAAAGAGATTATTTTGAATGGAAGGATTAAAGACTTCATAATTCCCCTTTCAAAAAAAAAAAAAAAAAGACTTCATAATTAATTTTTGAAAGAAGAAATCCTCATATATTAATTTAGCTATAACTAGAGGACTAATTTGTTATTTTCCCTAGTATTTATACAATTTGCACAATATCTATAGGTATGAGTTTTTCGACCCAAGTGGCCCTTTTTCCTGGTTTCCTCTTTTTTTTTTTTTTTTTTTTTTTCAATCTGGGTGCTTACTTGAGCTTTACCAAGTTTTTTTTTTTTTTTTTTTTTCTCTGCATGGGCTCCAACTCTGGGCTGCTTACTTGAGCTTACAAGTGGGCCAGCATTAACCACAACCTTCTCTCTTCCACAAATATATTCTTTCATGGGGTCTCTTTCACTGATAAACTCTCTCTATATTTTCACCTATCATTATTCATTTGTATCCACCGTCTCAAGGAAGAAAACTTATCCAAAAAAAGTAAATGAATTATAAGCAATTTGTTATTTCAAAAACACTTGATTCTTAGTAGGCTGTACTTGACAAAACATGAAGATACAAGGCTTGAGCATGACTTGGACCATAACACATCAATTCTACGTTTGCTTCAAACAGAAATTTCATGCAATACAAATAACACTTGTTCCTAAAAGTCTAATGACATTCCAAACATCTTATTTATATCATCCATTGCTTCTTTCGTAAACATAGTGGGCTCAAACAAGTCTGTATCACTTAAACTAGATGACTTTGCTGGAGCTGGAGGCTGGACCTTTTGAGTTTCCAAATCATCATCAGGAAGTATTGAGAACCCAACAAAATCTTGTTCTTGTTTTGTAACTGATGCTTTCTCCTGCTTCTTGGGTCGTTTTCTCCTTACAAAATCCATTGGTTTCCCAAACATGTTATTTATATCATCCATAGCCTCCTTCAAGTTAATTGTAGGGTCTACTAACCCATGATGGCAAACATTTTCCACTGCTGGCTCATCTAAGATGGTAGATCCCACAAACCTATGCACAACTGTATCTTCTCGAAGTTTTACTTGGGGCAAGCTCTCTGTGTCAATATCATCTGGTAGATCCTTAGGACATGGAAACACAAAAGCATTAAAATGCTGAGCAGATGAGCAAGAGCCAGAATTGTCATTCTCATCGGTTCTTTCTTCATTCTCACCACTTTCTTTGTCATCCATGAATATTTGAAGTGGTTTTTGCTGCATCATTGAAACATCCTTTTCTTCTTTTTGATACGATGATTTGATTTCATCATCGAAGCTTTCATCAACAAAGACATTGAGTACATTGTTCGAATTGTTTTCTTTCACTTGACTTCTTTGGGATCTTCTATTAATTGGAGCAGTCTCTATAGGTTCTTTAAACATGTTGTTAATAGCATTCATGGCTTCCTTCATATTTATAGTTGGGTCCACTAATCCATGATGGCAGGCATCTTCTGCTTCAGATTTTCCAACTATGGCAGTGTCAACAAACTTTACCACAAAAACTGTATCATCACCATGAAACGTCCCGGTTTTGTCTGATTCTTTTCCAGTAATCATTTGCTGCTCAGATACATCTCTTTTTCTAATTTTCTGGTCATGGTCCTTCACCGATGCATCATCAACTAATCTAATATTAGATGAATTTCCCAAAATTCCCACATTCTTAGATTCATTCAATATCTTTTTAGGCTTATGCTCAAAGTTGTATGCATTTTCGTTGTTCTCTTCAATCTTCCTGGCTGACAGAGGTCTTCTCCCGGTTCTACTACTTTCCTGGCATCACAGATCATTCAAATGTTAGATAATAGACTCAGACTATAATTGAAGGAAATTTCAGCATGCAAAAGCAAAATAAATAAAGTATAAACCACTACCTTGACCTTCTTGTTCTTGTGTCTTTCCATGCGATGAAGGAATTGCTCATATGATTTCTGTAATTCATCAATCGGCTCTGCAAGGCTTTTAATTGGAGAACTTAGATTAGGATAAAAAAATAACACATTATTTATGGAACAAGTATGCCACAACAGTGAGATTTTCTTTCACCATTTTTACAATTCTCCACATGAGGCAGGCACAATAAGAGGGCAAGTTTGGTTTAAGTTTCTCATGACTAGCTCCATTTCACGAAAACGTTTAGTTTAACTTCTGTATACCTAAAAAACATAGTATAGCTTCTAATACTTCCAATAGTTAGCTTATCAAGGAACATGAAGTCAGACGGTGAAAGTAATATCACAAGAACAAAGTGCTCGAAAAACTAAACTACATAATATTATTTCTTTGGTAAATCAAGCCTTTTCCTATATATATAAAAATAAGCAAGTGCCCTCTAAATCCTACAACATCTAAGGAAAAAGCAATCTTCATTTAGGTTTCTTCCTGCTATGATCGATTTTGATGGGTGATGAAATACAAATATCTACTAGTAACATCAAAAAACAATATTGAAACTATGCAAATGTTTCTTTAAGTATAGGGAGGAAAGACACTTACTTTTGCACCCCTAAAAGGTACATTTTCTCAGCTTCCTCAAATTTCTTCATCTTCTCATAATAAAGAGCATATGCTTGGTAGAACAATGATCGTTTTGACCCTATGGAATTCATTTCCATGGTTCTCAATAACGCTCTTGGTTCATCCACATAATCCATCTATTCAACACCATTTGAAAAGAAAATTTTAAATAATTAGTAAATAGAGATAATATCAAACTCCAGCTACTACCAAGTGTGATCAGTGAGGAAAGTTTCACAAATAGTAAACAAAATAGAAATCGATTGATTCATATTCCCAAAGTTTGCATTTTTATGAAAATAATAAGTAGCAATCTAAAATCACAAAATTCAAAATTTCCATTTTTTTTTTCTTTATTTTCTTTGCTTAAGTGAAGTTAACACAAAAGTGATTGCCACCACTGTTTCAGTATACATAAACCAATTACTGCTTTGGAATTTAAATTATTGCAATTTGAGCGATTTTTCAGTGTCACTTTCTTTTCAGTTATTCAACCAAAGACCAGCTAAAAGACTGAACAAAAAACTAAAAAACCCAACTTCAAACAATCTCGAAAGAACAGAGTTGATTTAAAAGCATATCAAATAAACTAAACAAGAGCCATAAAATAGAACCCAAAATCCCAAATGAACAGAAAGAATTAGAAAAACCAAAGCGAAAAACGACATGAATAAAGCGATTTACCAGCTGTAACCAAACACGAAGATACCGTACGTCGTTTTTATAGCGACAATCGGACTCAAATGTCTGTGTGCATTTCTGCAAAAACCGAGGCAGCTTTTCCCTCAAAATATTTGAAGGCAGAGTGTCTTTCATTTTCTTGATGCCCCTGCAAATGAAATTCGATTCAACTCAATGTATATAAAGCAAAAACGTAGAGCGAGCGAGAAAGGGAGAGTAGAAATACCGGAGCCAGGGGAAAAGAGGGTCTTTGCCAGAGTAGGATTTGATATCTGAAATTAAAGAGGAGAAGAGATCGTTGTGAAGTGAGTTAGTGGCCATTAATCTTCTTTTTCTTAAGAGAGAAAGAAGAGATTGAAAATGGCAGTGATTTGATTTCTCTAATCAACTTGGTGACACAGAGGAGGAGAGAGACCTCTCTCTGCGTTTTTGAATTTGGGTGCTATAGGCGCTGGCTTCAGTGAATCTTGGAGTCACTTGTGTGTGATACTCGGATCAAAGTAATAGTTGTTTTGAGTTAAGCATCCATACACGTGGGAAGGAGCTTGGGCTTGGGCTTGGGCTTGGGCTTACTGGTAATTTTAGTATGGTAAAAATTTTATGAAATTTGCTTCAGAATTCATATTGAATATATTTTGGCATGAAAATAAAATTTCATACTATTTATTATATAAAAAGGTCTTTTTTTAATTTATTATTTTTAAACTATTTAGTTAGTAATGCTAATTTAATATGTATAAGACATTTTTTAAATTAATTTACTAAAGTTATACATATAACTAATTTTTTAGACTGACTTTTTTTATATTAAACTTATAGTTTTGCATTGTATTAAGTTAAATTTTTACTTTTGGAAAAAAAAAAAAATTTTGAAAATAAAAATAAAAGAAAGTTTTCAATTAGATGGAATAGTTTATTTATAAAATCAGCAACTAGTTATTATTTATAAAAAAAAAAGTATATATAATAATAAAATAAAAGGAGTTCCACTTCAGTTTAGGGTCTTGCCTTTGGACTGGATCAAGCCTGAACCAAAATGCTAAGTGAGTTGGGCCCAGCATCTGGAAGAGCCCTATTAATAGCCCATTAGTGGTGATTAAATTGAAGGAAAAGAATAACAATATTGGAAAATGAAGTAAATTGACTAAAGTATAGGGACGCCATTGCAAAGAATAATAAAAAACTTCAAAGAAATATTAGAACCGCAGTCTCTAACTCTCTATAGTTTGTACAGTGCTTATCGTCCAAGTCACCTGTACTCTTCCTCAGTCGCCGTTTGCTCTGAATCATCCGTTTCCATGGAAAAACCCGACCCGATTCCACAAAACCCTAACAATGATGAGGAAGAACTTGACGAAGAAGACGATGATGAAGAAGAAGAGGAAGAAGATTTTGAAGAGGAAATCGAACCTGAAATTCCAAAGCCTCAAACCCGACAGCCTCAAGCACGAATAGAGCGCGCAAAGCTAGAGAACCTCTTCCGTCGGATACAGACTGAAACGGTGCCTCTTCGGGTTCACGATGTGATCATCAAGGGGAACGACAAAACCAAGGATTCCTTAATTGAAGCAGAAACAGCGTTACTTAAGGACGTTTCGTCAATGCAAGAGTTGCTTGAGGCTTCGAAACTAGTGAATTTCAAGTTGCAGGCGCTTGAAGTCTTTGATTCGGTAAGGATCACCCTCGATTCTGGGCCGCCGGAGCTGCCCGGTACGGCTAATGTGATCGTTGAGGTTGTGGAGACTAAGAGTCCAGTTTCTGGCGAAATCGGTGCTTACACGAAAGGCGAGGTATATTTCTATGTTCTATTTGGCTTTATGTTCGTATTTCCTGGTACATGGCATCAAATGTTTGTTGGTCGCATTGCATTTGATAAGCTTTCTATAGCTGAAAATGATGGCGTTGTAGTGATTAAGTGATGCATATGGTGTTCAGCTAGTTAGAAACTGGAGGAAAAATTGAAACGAAATTCAAAATTTTATGTCTATGATATTTAAGTTGACAGAGACTTACTGTTTTCAACGGTATTATGTTTCTCGCTTATGTCTTGGTTAAGTTTAAGTCATTTCTTGATTTTGATTCTAATGAATGTGTGTGCAACTCATAGAGAGGCAGGAAATCTTTTTGTGGTTACGTTGAGTTGGATATAGTGATTATTGTTGGAGAGAATAAGTAACAGGTAAACGTGTGCTTATCTTGGTGTGGGTTATAAAGTTTTGTATATGCAATATAATGTGGATTATATGGATGTATCTGTATGCTTTGTTATCATGGTTTTGTTCCGCTGTGGTAATCTGTGTTTTTTCTATTTAAATTGGAGTGTTGGTTTTTGTTATTGTAGTCTCTGGTTCCGTGATAGTTGAGTTAGTGCTGTGTTTAGTTGCTGAAAATTTCAGAGAATTGGAAGGAGAGTTTTGTTGGTCTGTATGTTGAGAGAGATGAAAGTAGGAACTTGGGTGCTTGTGAAGTTGGAAGTTTTGTGTGGTTGATAGAGCCATATTGTGGTATGTGTGCTGCATTGTAATCCCATTGGTTACTTCGTAATAGCTGGAATATTCTGTATTTGCATATTTATGGAAGGCTGCTGGTTTGATCCAGGAATGTTTGTATGTGCTCTAGTTTTCTGCTGTTGGATAGGAATTGTTCAATGGTTGCTATTATTGTGTGCCCTGAATCATTTTTGTGCATGGAAACTTGCATTGAGGTTTGGAATTTGATTCACATATATAAAACATAAAATGCTCTTCGCTGGATTCATTTTTAAGTATGTGGTCTGAGGTGTATGATGATTTTGTAGGCTAGATCTTCAACAGTTGAAGGAACTCTCAAGTACAAAAATATATTTGGCTATGGAGATCTTTGGGATGCCTCTTTGGCTTTTGGTGGTGAGCACATGGCTGAGGTAAGTGCTGGTGTGTATTTGCCAAGATTCAAGGGACTTGTAACTCCGTTGACAGCCAGAGTATTCCTGCTCTCCCAAGATTGGCTAAAATTTTCATCTTTCAAAGAACAAGCACTGGGCCTCTCACTTGGCTTAGTTTCAACCAGGAAACATGACTTGGTATACAATCTTTCATGGCGCACCTTGACAGATCCATCACAAATGGCGTCTAGATCAGTAAGGAGGCAGCTTGGCCACGGTTTACTTTCATCATTGAAGTATACATTTAGAATTGACCGGAGAAATTCATCTCTGAGGCCAACACGTGGATATTCTTTTGTTTCCACCACCCAAATTGGTGGCCTTGCACCTGATAGTAGGAGCTTACGGTTTTGCCGCCAGGTTCGATGCTCTTTTAATGCTTGATCTCATGTCTTGTTATTTGCTCTATCAAGTTTTTTCAAGTATTTTTTTTTCTGGCTCGTCCGTAAAGTACTCCATATATGTTTTATTTGATATTTGCATTTTAGCTCTGAGGATTTGTTTTTTTTACTCTCTTAAATCTTATTGTTGCAGAATTAGATTATATTCTAGCTTGTGCTCTTTCATATAAAATGACGTGTTATGTTCTTGAGAAAGCTTTGTTGGTTACTTTGTTTCTCTTTAGTTGTATACAGCATATAATCAATATCATTAGTTAGCAGTACATTACACTTTTTTATATGGTAAAGACAAGGATTTTTTTTTTTTTTTTTTTTTTTTTTTTAGCTGCTCCCAAGATTGTGCTAAGAGATGTTGTGTTCAATCTAATATACAGAATTTACAATTGCCCAGTAGCACCGTAGCGGCAGCCTGTGCATTACAGACACTTGAGTGACCTTAGAAGTCATCTCACCGGCACGAAGGAGTAAAACTTGGGATTGGAGTTTTGGTGTTACTCACTAAAAAATCTATGTTCATTGGTTGGGGCGCACGCTCTGACAGATATCTGGTTCACCAAATGGCCGGGTTACCTGGATTCACATTCAAGTTCATGGAAGCTTGCGCGCTTGGCCACGGGTTTACTCTCCCATTCCCAGTGGTTTTGATCAAACCTGCAGTTTAGTACATTTTAGAATTGGACCGGAGAAACGGTTCATCTCTAGTGGGGCACAAACACGTGGATATTACATTCACTACCTTAATGTTTCCACCACGCCCAGTAACCTATATGCTCTTGGCCTTTGCCCCACTCGATAAAAGGTAGCTCGCAGAGCTATAACGGTCCCTTTTTTGCCGCACCGCGAGATTCGCGGAGTTGCATACTTTTGTAATATTGCTTGATCTCATGTCTTGTTATTTGCTCTATCAATGTTTTTCAAGATATTTTTTTTTCTGGGCTCGTCCGTAAAGTTTATAACGGAATATACAGGACTCCGTATAGTATTGATTATTACTTAGTCAGTGACTTTTCTAGCGATATATTTAGCTACTCCCGAGGAGGAGTGCCTATGTGCTCTTCTTTTTTGTTTACTTCTGGCTTTCAAACTCCCTCTCCTCCTGTTGAACAAGGAATTTACGCATTTCCCACTTCTCGGGATATATTCTAGCTTGTGCTTTTGTGAAATATAATATAAGAACACATTGGTTATGGCTTCTAGTTGAGGATTAGAAGGAGAGGCTTTTCGCGTGGGTATTACTATCTGTGCCTCTCTCTGTTAGTTGTTTCCTACGCTTTTGTATTTATTATCGCGGACCACTAGGCATTAGCAAATCAGTTAGACCTGCTAGGTAGTGCCTTCTCTCTCTCTCACTTTTTCTTCTATATATGGTCAAAGACTCGCAAGAGGGTATTTTTTTTTGTTATTTTTTTTTATTGTTTCTGAAGGTGGGGGGGAAGAAAGGTGGACCGCGCGCACGCTGTGAGAGGCTGGCATCGGGGGGAGGATGAAAGGGGGCGGGGGATGAAAGATAAAGAATGAAGAATTTTCTCTCTTCATGTCTGAAACTTTCTCTACTTGACACTATATATTGCCTGGTAATGTTTCATGCCACTGAACATGTTTCTTGATCCTTTTGTTGGTTGGTGAAAATTTGTTTTTACTTAAGTCATATACATATTGGAAACAAGGTCCAAGAGCCTTAGGAGTTTGACTGGTCTGTTGTGTGTACACTATGTACAATTCTGTTACCTCTTTTATTTGTTTTTTATTTTTTATAATACCTTAGGTCTGCATTTCTACATACTTCAACTAAGTTGTTTTTCTTGATTGTTTTCTTCTTATGCCTTACTTCCTTAAGCATTTACATCTATGATGGACTGTTTTTCTGCCTCTTCATCACATTTACAGGAGCTTGATCTTCGTTATGCAATTCCTCTTGGATTTTTGCATTCTGCACTCAATATTGGGATCTCTAGTGGTTTAATTTTTCCATGGGGAGCTGGATTCTTGAACATGCCTACACCCCTGCCAGAAAGGTTCTTCTTGGGTGGCAATTTATCTCCAGTTTGCACTTTGGGAGGTCCGATGGCATTATATGGATTTAGGACAAGGGGACTGGGCCCTACTGAGCCTCGAAGACAATTGCAAAGTAATCCATCTGATGATAATGCTGACTCTGGGAGGGATTATCTTGGAGGAGATCTTGCTGTTACTGCTTTTGCAGATCTTTCTTTTGATTTTCCATCCAAGTGGTGTCAAGCAAAAGGAGTCCATGGGCACATATTTGCATCTGCTGGAAACATTGACAAACTAACAGAAAATGCATACCAAAATTTCTCCTTGCGGAAGTTTGTGGAATCATTCAGAAGCTCTGTGGGTGCCGGGATCGTTATTCCTACAAATCTACTCCGTATTGAGGTCAGGAATCTTGATTTGTTATGTCTCTTTTAATATTTAGCAATAATTAAAGTTCAGTTTTGGCCTATAGGATTTTGGAGGTAATCTTCTTTCAATGTGAGCTGGATGTCCTAGCACTTCCTAATGAAATTCTTCTTTATCCGCTCTTAGAGTTGTGTCTGGTCTCAACATCTGTCTTTTTCTAATGGTTATCATTTCTCTCTTTTTTTTTTTTCCTTTTCTTTCTCTTCTTAGGTATGAGTTTTGATGTGAAGAAATTTGTATTAATTGTTTATGCTAAGACTGTTGTTTTATGTGACAATTATACGTTGAGTGACAAGACAAAATTGTAAATGCAAGATGACAAAATGCTTGGATGTTGCATTTGCAAGCGCCCCTAGGTTTAGGTGGTTTTTATCCAATGTCACCGTGCTTTTTGCCAATCATTAAAATACCTTAGCAGGTATTTGTTCTTTAACATAACCAAAGCTAGTTTTGGGAGATCCATTAATATGGGATTTGTTGCAGAAATCCCACATTGTAATGGCTAAAAAATGTCCTCTTTCTTCCTCCTGTTTCTTGTGTTGCTGTTTATTTAAACATGATCTAGGCTTGGTGTTTCTTTGCTAATTAGATTGATTTTGTTTCCAGTTAAACTACTGCTACATGTTGAAGAAATTTGATCATGACAGTGGGAAGTCAGGGTTCCGGATCAGCTTCTCCACACCAACATAAAATCTGGAAAATTTTCATTTCTGTAATGATGTCTGGCAGGCCATTTGACACACAAATTTTCCTATCAGGTAGTTGAGCTCTTCTATACGTTTTGGCATACAACGAGACTGCCTTTATTTTTTTTCCTGCTCAAATGTAATTTTTAATTGGGCCGAATTTCAGCGTGTCTGGAACTTAATGAGGCATAGATGGAGGGGAAAATAATTGATTTCTCAGGAATTAACTGGGGCCCCATGTTTCGGGGTGTTTGATGAGATTGCCAATGTTCCAATTGAAGCACACTTTGGTAAATGGTTAGATAATGTTTTTGCTTGTCAGTTTGATGCTCAAGTTGATTTTTTAATAAGAGGTTGGTTACTTTTACAAGTCACTTAATTGATTTTGTGACTTGAACTGCAAGATCAATTCATTTTAAGACGTCGTATGATGAAACTTTATCTCTCTTTCTATTTATTTTTTTCTTCTCTCTCTTTACTTTTAAGAGCAATTTAGGAAATTATCACAAATAGAACTCTATATTTATTACATATGATTATAGATGTAAATATATATGGAATTTAAATGAATAGTTGAAGTTTATCATTCCAAATAATAGTTTTTATTTTCAGAATTTATTTATGCCAAATAAAACTTTAATATAATGGGTTAGTAGTTTGGTGGTTTGTGTCCTCATATCATGAGGCAGAAAAGAAGGCAGGTGCTATGCTGATTATAGTGATCAGGATAATTATCCATCCCTATAAAGCAGGTGTATTAAATTTATTCATTTTATATTTATGTATCTGAATTTTATTTGTCTTATTAACTATATATCTGAATGGATTATTTTTTTTTAATTAAATATAGTTGGTTGAAATTTCTAGCTGGGATATTAAAGTAAACTATCACACTTTTCTACCTCATTTGTTTTCTAATTATCCCCTTATTTTTTTCATAAACATTTTTTTTGAAATATCTTGAAAAAGTTTAAAAACTTTTTAAAGAAAAAAGGTAGAAAATAGTATAAAGTGAAAAACAAAGAAATAAGGCTATGTTCAGCTCATCGGAATGATGGAATAGAATAAAGAATAGAATACCAATTTCCGATTCCACTGTTCACTAGCACAAGTGAGGAAGGGGAATAGGAATAGGGAGGAATGGGAATTCCTTAGTGTAGGAGTGAGAACAGATTAGGAATATACATATATATTTTCAACAAATCAAAATATGTCTTATTATTTTTTTGAAATACCAAATTAAACCGTTTTCATTTTTCGCACCCCCATTCTCTTCTCCATGTCTCCAAAACCTAGTAGTGCCATTCCATCCTTTAGCTGGAGAAGCTTGACAAGCCTCCTGTCATCCTCATTGGAAAGTCTCATTCTGCCATTCTCCTACTTCCTCACTCTCTCAAGGTATGTGTGTTCTCTTTTTCGATTTTTTTTTTAATTGATTTCATTGGGTGTTTTTTGTCAGTCATCTATATTTATGTTCGTATGATGCTTAATTTGGTCTTGGGTTATGCTTTTGGCTCGCGAAATAGAAAATGATGTTTTGTTTTGATGGGAATTTATATCTGGTGCAGAAGTTTTTTCATTGAATAAGTAGCAATTAGGGATTAAACCATTCAGCTTGTATATTTGGATTTTGGTTAGGCATAAGTAGTGATCAGCAATTAATGTTGATCATACGTGGTAGTTTTATTAGTACTTGGTCTTGACTTGTACAAAGTGTGGAAAAATGAATGCTGCCAGTGCCCTATGGGAGGCATTGTGATGCTGGAAACCTTAAATAAAAACATTTGTTTATAAAGTTGTCTTGTTTCGTAATCATAAATCGGTTGTTGGGATTAAAAACTGTTAGAAGAGAAGGATGACACTGTTTGAAGATGGTGGTTCAGTTGTTTAGTGTTGTTTCTGTTTTTAACCTTAGTTTTCTGGTTATAACGAGGGTGCGTGAAGATGGTACTTGAGATTGTTTGGGAAATTTTCATTATGTTTCAGAGTTGTAGAGAACTTTAAGCTTTGATTTTATTTGAAGGCTTTCTAATCAAGCTTTCTAGTGAACATTGTTAGAACTTGAACTTGCTAAGTGTGAAATGCTGATGAGTTTGTTCAGTTGTATCTGTTTTGAAACCTGGTGCATTTCATTTTTCGTAAATGAGAAAGATATCCTGATTTTCCAAATGTAGCTTGGTCCAATTCTTTTCTGTCTATAAGCTTGGATGATATATGATGTTCAACTATGTCTTGTTAATGCAATTTATCGTTGATTCTGCTCAAATCATATTGATTATGGGTTGATTTTGGTACAAAGTGTTGGATTTTTGTATGCATGTTGTCCGAATTACAATTTTTTTTATACTTTCACGAGCTGTCTAAGCCCGTGTTTGTTTTTAGAGTCCATGGTAAATCCGATTAATTCTCGCTCGCCCTTGGAGGCAAATGGATTGATTCGAGGGAATTTGTATTGTGGAGGATTAAACTCATGACCTAAATCATGATGATCAATCTAACAAATGCTCTTTGCGATTGAGTATCCTCGGTCAGATTCCAAATTACAATAGATTGTGGCTAAAAACAATATATAACTTACTACTTTTGTCTTTTTTTCGAAGATGTGAGAGATTTCTTTATTTAATTATTTTATTGTTATTTGGTATTAAATTTGGGATGTTACGAGATTTGATGGGGTAATTTTTCAACATCATGAATGGAAAAAAAAAAAAAAGGAAAAATGATAAACCATATAAATTGTTTTCTATTCCTAGAAAATGAAAAATTAAAAACATGGAACCATGGCAAACATGCCTTTGGTATGATTTATTAAGGAAATTATTTATTTTAATTTTCTTATAAGATATTTCAATTGAATATATCTAATTGTAATTGAAAAGGGAAAAAAAAAAAAAGATTCAAAAACATGATTTGGCTGCTGCTCATTTGAACTTGATAATCCTCTTTGTCAAGTGAGAAAGTCATGCGCAGCCCATTATGACTTTAAGCTAAGGGGTATGTAAGTTTGAGTTGTTCATGGAGACAAATGAAAATTGCCAGTCAAAGCTATCTTATTTTAAAAATATTGTTGAGGTAACTATATTTTTTAAGATTAAAAATAATAATAACATATAGTTAGGCTGCTGTAGTGTGTTTAGGTCAAAGTAGACCTCATTTTTATTTTCCAGTCAATTAGAGTCGCACCATTATTTTTCTCTTCTATGGTCCCCAAAAATGGTTAATTTATTGAATTTGGATGGATCTTTGAAGAAGGAGCAGCAGCATTTACGCCGTCAATTAAATTACAGAGCAAGAGGAAGCCAGCTCTATATACTCTACTAAGTCAAGAATCAAAGACGACTGTGCATTCAACAATACAACTATCCTTTCTTTGCATATTTTTCTGTGGAAGAAGAGATCTAGAGACTTAAAACCACATAAAGAGAAATCATCTAAAAAAGATTTATTAGTTTTTGGTATTAGTTCGGATTTAGCGATAAACAAAGTGAAGTGAAAATAAAGGATCTACATAATCGAACTTTGCTAATTTCAGATTAAGACTTAGTTGTTGTATTAGAGAGTTGTTTTGATAAGTAATTGTTAATTGACTAATTAGTTCTTTAACTTTAAGCAAGACTAGTCAAAGTTTAATTAAGCATTAGGTAAGTAAGAGATGTGAGAAAATTTTAGGGAAATCTTCTTGATTAGATGTGAGAAAATTTTAGGGAAATCTTCTTGATTAGTTAATTACTATGCTTAATATTATGATGTGATTGATTGATTATCAGAAATATAAATAATGAGATTCATGCAACCAGTTTATTTATATTATTATTATTATTATTATTATTGATTGATTGATTATCAAAATATACAATACAAGAAAATTTTAGGGAAATCTTCTTGATTAGTTAATTACTATGCTTAATATTATGATGTGATTGATTGATTATCAGAAATATAAATAATGAGATTCATGCAACCAGTTTATTTATATTATTATTATTATTATTATTATTATTATTATTATTATTATATATTGGGGAGTGCAAATGGTTGGTAACCTGGCATTCACCCTTGGGCTTGGCAGACAAAAGATAATGTATGAAAAGGAGACAAAGATTACCTTTGAAACTATAATATTTATATGTATTCATATAGTAATAATAATAATAAGAAAAACAATATTTTTTTACTCAATGGACTAGTATGAATAGACTGGTTGAAAATCCCATCAAGAGATTTAATATTTTCCCCTTTCAATCAGTGAACATGTTTTTCTTTTGAAGGACATCCATCAATTAATTATTTAGCATTTTTTATTAATTAAAGAAAATAGTAATTTGGGTAATACTGATCTTACACTTCTATTCCATATTTGGATGATAATAATTGGTCATTATATATATATATAATGGCTGTTGAGTTGCTTATATATATGTATATAAATTTTTAATTCATATTAAAGATATATAGTAATGAAGAGTGAACTCTAAGCTTCAAAGCGTCAGCTTATAATTCTTATACATTTCTTTTAGCAGAAGAATCATTAATTATTTACAATATGAATTGTTTATAAGATAATTTACATAAGAAATTCATTAATGTGAATTAGATTAAAAGGGTTTCATAAATTTTAATTCGGGTTCGGGTTTATAATAGTAATACCCACTAAAATAAAACTTTCGATTTTTACTCATACTTTATCTAAATTCAGTCAAAACCCTAAAATTCGAGTTTGACCAGGTTTGGGTTGGGTGTGTGCCCATCGGGTTGGGTTGATTTTGCGGTTCCTGTATATGGCATGCAAGAATATATAGTATGATGATGATGATGTATGTATGACCATGAATTAATGCTTGATCGATGATGGTGATGATGATGGGTATTTGAAAAACAATGTAGGAAAAAGACAGACATACTCATTCTCAAAGGATAGGTAGATCCGCATTAATAGGTTCACGTATTCTCATGCACAATATAATAAAACTTTATTATTATTATTATTATTATTATTATTGAAAAACAATGATCCTGATATGAGTTGACTTTACAAGTTGTGTGCTATACTTGGCTTGATGCCGATCTCAAAACCCTATCTTTTATTTTTTAATTAACATTCATATTAGCATAATATATAGTTATATATACTTCATGGCAAACCCGCCCACCATTGCTAACTAAGAAAAATATATGTTTTATTTACTATTTTAATTACCAATTAATCTAAGTTGATTATCATATTTGGTTGCGGGACGATCTTAAAAATAAATCACAACAGGACTTGATTATTGATAAATTATTATCAATTTTTAAATATATTATTATGAATTCGAACTCGTGATCACACCTTATATAAATTTTTGTATATCTCAATTCATAAACATGATATATTAATCACGGAGAGTGTTCGAAAGGGAAAGAGAAAAAAAGTTTTTTCAAAAGACTATCTATATGTCTTTGATATTCACTCTATCTTAATTACAAAAAAAGTAAATTCAAAATAAAAGATTTGTACCGTCGATCTTTCAATTAGTTTGGAATCACATGACTTAGTTATTTTCAAATCGAAGTTTTTAAAAATCAATTTGGTATAATGTGAATCCTACACTAGGACTCTAATTTAGTCATACACACATGAATATCTATACATATGTAGATTGTAGGGGTAGTTGATTGACTTAGAGACATTAAGGCATTGGTGTATCTAACTAGGAAGCCACAATAAATCAAGCAACCAAATTTGTCAAAAAGTGCAATAGAGATCATTAATGTGAATCATAGAAGAAAAAAGCAAAAAAAATTTTTTAGGAGACATTCTTGGCATTTGTAATCATAAAATCAAATTCATGCATTAGGGTCGGTTTGACAAAATTACTTGTTTCAGTAGTTGTTAGCTGTTTTATTAGCATTTAACTATTAGCTATTTGAGTAATTTTTCATAAACTACTAAAAGTTAAACGTTACACTAGTTAATTTTTTATAAAATGCTATCTTAATATCTAAAAGTCAGTCCAAACGCTATGTTGCCAAACACTTTAAAAAATAACATTTAGTATTTTGACCAGACACAGCCTTATTCGATTACTTCTAATACAAGCTAATTCTATACATGTTTACATGACAATTTCAAAGAAACCATGCATATATTACTTGGACGGCATTGAATTTTGGCAAGATGCCCGTGTTGGGAAAGTAGTTTCAACTTTTAAGCTAAAGAGTTTGTTTGGTGGTTATGTGTCATACAAAGGTACCTTTATATTATTATGCACGAGGGTAGAATATTAGGTTTCATATATATGTAATATGTTGCCTTAGGTCAAAAGCTGTAATAAAATGCATTTATGCATGATTTATAAAAAATAAAACAAAAATTGATTTTCTTCTAGAATTTTTTGAACTTATTTGAAATTTTCTAACATATATTATGCTATATATATGTATTTTTTTTTTCGAAATTTTAATTTTAGGATCATCAATTTATAATATTGTTGTTATATTATTATATTCTTATGGACTAATTAAAACAATGGACCATATATGAATTCAATTTTTCTCCTTAATTAGATTATTAAAAATAAAAAAGGAATAAAAATAAAATTAAAGAAAATGAATATGCATGGAGGAATCAGGATCTTGACCTTTTTTGCATATTAGTATGTTAAATTATGAATATAAAGAAACATTTTCTTTTTGAATATTATGAAATAATATAAAAATGGCTTAGCTGTAGAGCTTTGTTGACCATATCAAACTGCTCTCTCAAAGTCTAAAACTAAAACTTTTCAATTACAATCTTTTTTTTTTTTTTTAATTATTATTTTTTGTGTGTCTGGGAAGCCAAACTCACTGCATATACTTCTCACATTCATTTACATATAAATACTAAAAAATTTAAAAACACTATATAAAAATATATATTTTTTCACGCTAAAATTTATTAAAACTATGATCTTATCTGGGTGTAAGTTAGTTAAACCGCCTGTAAGCTACTCAAGACTCAATTTGAAAAAACAAAATTCATTGTTGGAAAAATCAAGTTTATCGTTTTTTTTTTCAAATTATAAATTATAAACGAACCATATTTGAGCTTGAGTATATGTTTATCAGACTTGATTTCGGATTTGAAATCAACAGAGCTCGGTTTGATTTATTACAATCTCTTGCCTATCAAAATTAGTCAAAATTGATATAGAAATTCCTTTAACATTCTCTTGTCTTTAGGTGGCCCACCCAAGACCATTTGAATTCAACTCAACAAAAAAAAAAAAAGAAAAAAAAAAAATGCTAATCAAAATTAAAGTCAAAAATTGATATAGAAATTCCCCGTTTAACATTCTCTTGTCTTTAGGTGCCACTCCAAGACATTTGCAATCCAACTCAACAAATAAAAAAAAAAGAAAAAAAAAGATAAACCACTTTCATTAATTAATGAAATTATAATTATTAAAACCAAAAATACTCATAAATCAAAGAAAAAACAATCTCAGTGATTCGTATTTTGCGTAAACTTTTCGTTTCCTTTTCCAGTGGTTTTTCTCCTAATTAATTAACTATATTAATGTGGAAAATAATTGAGATGGTAAATAAAAAAATGATAAATAATAATAAAATAATAATAAAATGTATAATAATAATAATAATAATAATAATAATAATAATAATATACAGAGACCTTACACACATCTGACTTGTTGACAACATGAGGCCTTAAGTATGATAATTTGGGGGAGGGGTCTTAGCGTAGGGACAAAAATACATCCGTGATTCTCGACGAGAAGAGAGTGGAGTGCCCTTTTATTTATTTATTTTTATTTATATTTATATTTTATGGTTATATATTTTTTTTAATTTATAATTTCTTTTGCCCTAAAGTTTGTGGGTGAGTGACAGGCTAGCAAGAACAAAGCTTTATTAATAGCTAGATATGGTCATATGGGGCCAACCTTCTCCGTTGGTGAGTGAAAATATTAATATACCTCCCATGCAAAATATATATTTTCTATTATTTCTTTATTAATTTAATATTATTTTTACTCAAAACTAAATTAAAAATAATGTCTTTAGTGTTATTTTTTTTACATGTATTTCATACGTCAACCGAGATATTCAAGTAAAATTCTCTTTACAGTAAAGACTCTAATAGTATCAAATAAATCTGTAATTATATAAGAAATCTTAATAGTTTTTATAATTGTTTTAAATTAAGTACTAATGGGTGGATAATTAATTTAAACATAAATGAAGAATAAAAGTATAATTTTCTAAAATAATTTTAAGGTATCTTCTGTCTTCCACAATTAAATATAAATGCACTATGAGAGAGACTCGTGGGCAGTTTGACAGATGAATAATTAAGTGTAGTAGCTTTCATTTTAATTACTAACATTCAAAATTCAATTACTATAATAACCTAACTATATTCACATGCTGTGATCCGTTTTCTAAAATGAAAATATCATTTTCAAATCAAGTAATTAAAAAAAAAACATATATTCAATATATGGTTTTCCCTTTATTTAAATATTTAAATTTATTCACAATAAATCACGTTAGTTTGATTTAGCCTTAATTAACTTTTTATTTACTTTTCTCCTTTGAAAAATTCTCAGATTTTGTCAAACAAAAAAAATCAACGTATTAGACACGGTAAGTGTCAGTATTAAATATGAGGTTGACTTATCTAGACTGGGTCTATAATTTCATCAAGGGAGTAAACTAATGAAAATAATTTTTTTTTGAAATGATAATATTTTTAACCATATATCGGGAAAAAAAAATATAAAGTAAGAATAACTTTTAAATTCTTATTTTCATTGGTTTAATTCATATGTGAGGCTATGAACTCGGTATAAGTAAGTATCTTCAACCACACATCATTATACAGTTATCTATATCAAACTACACTATATGCATGCATGCAAGTCATTATATATATCAAACTACAAGCTTAATATAGTGCATCGCAATGCAAGTCATTATATATATATGTATATTATTATATAGTATATAGTATATATATTGAAAAGAAAAAAACTTTAGCACACAATTAATATCATGATATAAATATATATACTATATTGACAGATAAGACGGGTATAGTCTCCATTTTTTAAAGGTCTAGGGTTTTTCAATTCAAGTGTTTGTCTTACATTTTCTGCTTTAATTTTTTTTTTTTCTCTTAATAAAAAATTATTTCAAGACAAAAAAAAAAACTTTAGCACACAATAATATCATATATATATATATATATATTGACAGATTAAGACGGGTATATCTCCATTTTTTAAGGTCTAGGGTTTTCAATTCCAAGTGTTGTTTACATTTCTGCTTTATTTTTTTTTTCTCTTAATAAAAAGAATTATTTCAAGACTTCATTTCTTTCTTTAGGTGAGAGAGAGAGAGAGAATGAATTAATAAACTGAAACATCAAGAAGGTCATTTCTAATTCACAGCCTAGATGCCACTAAAATTCCTAATCCCTATTCTTGTTTCTTGAAGTCTTTCTTGGTAGGGGAAGACAGCTAAGGAAGAAAGAAAAATATGAAGGGAATTGTCAGTGATTGTACTCTTGAAGGTTCTGATAAGTTAAGCTTTTCTCACAAGAAAAGCCACGAAGATGATGATTCTGATGAAGAAGTTAACAAGAAAAATTGTTGTAAGCAAAGAAATGAAGAAATTATTAGTACAAGCAACAGCTCAGTTGATGAAGAGAGTGAAAAGAAAGAAAAGGATAGTGCTACAACGAGATCTGTCCGGCAATATATCCGGTCAAAGATGCCTAGGCTCCGGTGGACGCCCGATCTCCATCTTTGCTTTGTTCATGCAGTTGAAAGACTAGGAGGGCAAGAGAGTGAGTTCTTATTGATTAATTATCAGTCTTTCTTTCTGTTAATTAATTGGTTGGTGTCTTTTAATTTTACTTATTAATGATCTACCAGTAATGGTATTAATTCATCTTTTTTATTTAGGGGCAACACCTAAGTTGGTTCTTCAATTGATGAACATCAAAGGCCTTAGCATAGCTCATGTGAAAAGCCATCTTCAGGTAAATAAATACACTTCAATCTATATGGAAATTTCACAATCTTAGTTTTTTGTTTTGGGTCTAAACTCATGATCTTCTTCTTCTTCTTCTTCTTCTTTTAGATGTATAGAAGCAAGAAGATTGATGATGCTAATCAAGGTGATCCTTATGATACAAATTACAACAAAATTAGGGTTTCTTTCATTTGTGTGCTTGTCATCTTCTTCTCTCTAACTTCAATTAGGAATGATTTTTGATTATAGGGCAACGGCTTTTATTTGAAGGAGATGATCACAATATATTCAACCTTAGCCAGCTTTCTATGCTACAAGGTTTCAATCAAAAGCCTAATTTTACCAATTTAAGGTATGAGAAAATTTTAATTATTAATTAATTCCTTAATCCCATTTTTACCATTAAAATTGAGCTTCAAAATGGTTATTTTAATTTCATTATATTATAGATATAGAGATGTTTCTTGGAGAGGTCATGAACATCACCAGATTTACAATCCATATATGGGAGTAGGAGGAAACACACTCACTAGAAGCAAACAAGGATTTTCAGACTCAGCCGTAGATAATAGATTAATTAATCATCATTTTCCTTCTCTCAATGGACAAAACTTCATTAGTAAAATTCATCAATCTTCTAATGAGCTCAAGTCGTTTCACAGACCGAGCTCATTAGAATCGAGTAACTTGATATCCAAGTTACGAGAAAGAGGAAAAGATCAAGATCAAGAACGAGAACAAGAAGATTGTTTCAAGAACGACACCTTACCAATTCAAGGAATGGAAAACAATTTGCTGAAAAGGAAGAATAATTTTGATTTGAATTGTAAGTTGGACTTGAACTTGTCCTTGAAAGTAGCAAGAAAGGAAAATAATAGTATGGAAGGAGATGAAGTTGATAGTAGTTTATCTCTTTCTTTATCTTCTTCTTCATCTTCAAAGCTTAGTTGTGGGTTCAAAGAAGAGCAGGATGAAAGTAATAGGAAGGTTGCAAGAAGGGCAAGTACTCTAGATCTGACTTTATGAATGAGACAATATTCTAAGTGAGATCTTGAGGTACTTGTCTGAGAGCAATGCTAGATTAATATGATCTTGTCATGCACATTGTACCAGAAACACCAGGTAATTAATTATTAATATATTTTTTATCTTTAATTTTTTCCTTTTGTTTTTTTCATAATCTGGCTAAATAAGAACTGCCTAAATCAATTATTTAAATCTCATGAATTAGTCAATTTTATGCATAATATTAAGCATATCTTTCTAGTTTGATTCCGAGACAGCAATCCCACTAGCTAGATCAAGAGGTCGAGTCGTGGAGTAAGTACATCGGGGAGGGATATTAGAAATATAATTCTTGTTGTTTTAGCATTGCAAGATTATATATATATGGTATAGTGGGTTATGTGTATTGTTTTCAGAGTTGAATAGATAGAGGAGCTTTCTTAATCTTGATTAGTAACTAGCTAGGTGCCCGGTAAAACAGGATTAGAAAAAGTTAAAACAAGATCTTGAAATAATCAAATAATTTGATTCGAAATCATTTTATTATGTTATCTCTGCAGCTATATTAGTAGTAAACGACAAACACTTGTCCATATTCTTACAATACTGGATACTGAACAAGTGTACGTTAAAAAGTTGTTATTTGAATTGTGTTTTATCCAGGGATTATCTAGGAGATTAATTATAGCATATAATAATTGCTTTTGCTTTCCAAGAAGATGCAGAGATGAGAGACCCAATTAATAAAAAAAATTAATTTAATTAACCAATATATATATATATATATATATAGTAGATTGAGAGATTAGAGCTACGTCTATTATGTTAATGGCAATAAGGCAATATTAAATAAATGAAATATAATGAAATAGAGTCTTGCTTTGAAATCTTTGAAATTTTTTATATAAACCGAAGCATGGAACGAATACATTGCAAAGAAGTTTCGGGAGCTATGGAGAGACTTTTCAAAGGTTATGGAGAGAACTTTAAATTTATACTGATTATAGGTTGAGAACGCTATTGAGTTAAATTTTCTGTTGTTTCTCAGTAACTTAATAGAACGAATGGCCGGTAATTGATTGACTACAGTTTGAAATTCTACTTGGAGAGATTTAATATATTTCAAATCCTTTAGTTATCTATAGTGGAAGTTTTTGCATTATAAATTTTATGAAGCTTCTTACATTCTAATATGAAAAGGCAATCATGGACATGAATGATTAATGGAGGAAAACGCAAACCTCATATACAGGTAAACTTAAACTAGCTATAAAGACAGTGCATGCACGTGTGCCAACAGATATGCAAACTATGTCTACACTTTTGCACGTGCACTTGATTGCTTTTTCATTTACAATCTCATGACAATATCATGAACGATAACTTTGTACCAGAGTATTACCAGTAAATGCTAGAGAAACGAACATGTTTTTAGGTTATCAATTACATAAAAACTTGGATTGCAAGCTAATAATATTTGAATAATAACATTTTCTTAAGGATAGTTTCCATAACTTTTTAAGTTGAGAGTAATATTTAGCATTTCAAATGTTAATATGCACTTCAATAAATTGGAAAATAAATATATCTAAATTTAATAATTAATTCTTGTGATGCACAAATCTTTTGGATCAAATTATTTTAATATATTTCCTTTTAGTTTATTAAATTAGGATTTATTCGGCAAAATTAATTTTTTTAGTTGCTGTTGATTATTTTAGCAAGAAGGTGTTAGTTGTTTGAGTAAATTTTCATAAAACAGTAAAAATTAAACATTATTTAAGTTAATTTTTTTATAAAATATTACATTAATCTTTAAAATTTAATTCAAGCATTATATTATCGAACAACGTTTTAGCGTTTTAATTGACTATTTAAACAGCGGTTGCTGAACACAGCTTTAGTGAATCACTAATTGAGCCAAATCACTCTTTCATTTCTAATAAAGAAGTTTAATTAATGGGATTGAAAACCCAAATCTTGCTTTAGGAGATTGGTCTAAACAAATCTATCATTTCCTCTATTTTGCATGCAATGGAGATTTTACTAATACACATCAAGTCATTGAGGGTCTTTTTATTCTTTTACTAGAGCATTGAAAAGGAAAATTTTCAACTCATATTTAATTTATAGAAAAATATTTATCGAGAATAATTAAACTTCGAGATGAAATTAGTCTCATACCTAATAAATGATAGAAGGAAAAGGTATAGCTGGTCTAGGAGTCTTAGGAAAATTAGGAAAAATTTTCAATTTGATCATGTAATTTTTTATTAATTGTATTGGTAGACAATACTGTTTTTTTTTTTTTTTTAAAATTCAGTGAGGGATAGAAGGAAAACAGGTATAGCTTGGTCTAGGAAAGTCTTAGGAAAATTATGGAAAAATTTTTCAATTGTGATTCATGTAATCTTTGTTGAATTAATTGTATTGGTAAGACAATCACTGGTTTTTTGTTTTTTTTTTAAAGATGCTTAGAAAAAACTAGAAAAAAGTTCTGTTGATAATTGTATACGCTTAGCTTAACCTCATTTTTTTTTTTTTTTTTTAAAGATCAGAAAAACTAGAAAAAATATTGTATACAGCTTAGCTTAACCTCATCAAAATTTATTGTGTACCCAAATCTACAAAGGGCCACCTGCCTAAAATTTGACATATAATACCTAACTCAACCAATATAACAATATCAAAATATCACCTAACATAATGAGCAAGAAGGACTTGGATTTTATGCAACAACTCACATATATATATATATATATTTCTCTAAGCAGATCCGATGATAAACGATTTCGATTCAAGAAAGAATATAAATTTATATATATAGTTTCTTCAAACTCTTAAACATGCATTAATACATCATTTTTCATAAATCTCATGTCAATAAACAAGGCCATTTTATTTTATTCATATCATCTTAATTTACTGAAGAAGAAATTTACCTTTGGGATTCTTTTACATATTATTATTTGATTTATAGTTTTCTTAATAACCAAGAACATGCGGAATCACAGTCTCTTGAGCTATATTGGCAAGATTAGAATATACTTGTAGTGTTGGATGAACAGCATCCCAAAAAACATACTTTGATGCATCAGGACATGTTGTTGTCACATTACATGAAAGTCCGAATTCAAAGAGCCCACTCCCGCAACAACCTTTTAGTGTTTGTTCATATCCTTCAACAAAAACAAATTATATAAAGAATTTTTAATTTGTTTGTTAGAGTTAATATCCAAAAAAAAAAAAAAAATCTACAAAAAATGTCCTTTGAAATTATGCAGATTCGATTAATCCATGCTCGATTCAGATAAACAATATTAACAGTCATGATTTCAAGTTTTCAACCTTCAACTTTTCAAATAAAGGAAAGTCATAATTCATTCACATATTGATATAAGTAGCGATTTCAAGTTTTGAACCTTTAATTTCTTAAATTTCAGGTTTTAAATCTTTAACTTTTCAAATAAAAGTTTCTGATCTGTCCACCTATTCATATAAGTGTTATTAACAATTTCGATTTTAGGTTTTGAATCTATCCATGCTCTTTAAGTAAATATCATTTGATCCTTCGTCTATTAATTTTAGATTTTGAGTCTATCCATATTTTTTTAAATAAATATTATTTAATCCGTCCATCCATTAATATAATGTAATGTTTTTTTAGTATAATCAGGAAGCTATTAATACAACGCTTCTCATACATCGAACTTCTGATCTACCTAATGGCACAACCAACACTTTGTTGGTACAGTTTAATGTTTTTTGATAGTATTTTTTAAAAAAAAAAACAATTTCTTACCGTATTTAGCTGGGTTGTTAATCATATCCAACAAAGTACTATACGTGTCATAATAAGCAACCTTGACATTCTGAAGATCTTGATTTTCCAATCTTGAAGCTAAACCCTGAAGCTTTATATTAAAGGCAACACTATCCATATTCTGTTGTTCGACACACATACGTTGAGACGTGGCATTGCTTGATTGGTTGCTACTGAGTGTCACTTGTATCGGCAAACACCCCACCGGTTCTAGGCTCGTCAACGCAAACCTCCGCCCTCCTTTATTGTACAGTCTCTATAATATTTCAAGTTATAATAATTCAGTAATTAAGAGCTTCGTTGCATTTTTATTTTCTAATATGGATATGTTAAGTTTTTCCTCGATTTATAATTAATAAAAATAAATTTTTCGCCGACGAAAAATAGATAAATAAGCCAAATATTTACTTTAATAGCATTTTCCAAATTTTGGAGCAGGAAATCTTGGTAACTGGAAATTGTAAACTCAGGTGTTCTTAAAGGAGAGTCATAGATGTGTTGGGTCCCGGCAATAAGATTACGAGAAAAATAACACAGCGGAAAAATAAAAATATGACACAGATATTTACGTGGTTCACCCTTTACCGCAAATAAGATTACGAGAAAAATAACACAGCGGAAAATAAAAATATGACACAGAATTATTTGTAAACTTGGTTCAACCCTTTAACTGTTAGGGCTACGTCCACGGAGACAAAAAACTCGAATAATTTCTTCCACTATGTAAAAATAGTAAGGCTTTACAAAGAGAGTTAAATACAAATAGTGGCACCTCATCACAGTGTTCCCCCAAATTTATCCTCAACTATTCTCCGTTGACCCGAGGTTTTAGAACCCAATTCTAAAACTCAAAAATCTCTTCAAAAAAAAAACTCTCTTCGCTCTTTTGGTCTGTGTGTTTATGAAGCGTTCGTGCCATCTCCTATTTATAGGAGGGATGGTACGCGGGATTAAGAGAGAGGTGGACGCAATTTATTACGCCGTCCACCGAAAAACGGATTCACCTACCAAGAAGAAAATTCTTATTTCCCCCTTATTTCGCATTTCAAACTACCGTGTGGGTCCTACCACGTTTTTTCTTTTTTTTTTGTTTCAAAGTGGGTCCCATTGAGTGGGCACGCGCACAAACAAATCTCCCGCCTGCAGCACCAAGTGGGACGTTAGCCATACCCAGCTATCTTTCTGCAAGTGACGAATTTCTCCGTGAGGTAAAGCTTTAGTCATATATCAAGCGCCATTAATTCATCAAGTTGTGAATCCTTTTCAATTGAAATAACTTCATCTCCAGCGCATACGCGTATCCAAATCGAACCTACATCAAATGTGCTTTGACCTTGAATGAAAGGTCGAATTCTTGCTGAGATGTATCAGGCGCTTTGACTGATCACATAGAGCAGATGTATTCTCTTTGTTCTATCCACCGCAATTCTTTGTAGGAATTTCTTCATCCTAAGAAGTTCTTGCTAAGTCTTCTGTAATGGCATTTATACGTTGCCGCCTCAGTGATATATTCCGCCTCAGTGGATGAGAGTGCAACGCATTTTTGCAATTTTGATTGCGAAGAAACTGCTGCACCTGCAAAGGTCATCAGATATCCAGAAGTTGATTTGCTCGAATTAACATCACCACCCATGTCTGCATCTGTGTAACCATCTAACACAGGTCTATTATCACCAAAACATAAGCACATTTTGGAAGTGCCCTTAAGATACCTGAGAATCCACTTTACAGCATTCCAGTGTTCTTTACCTGGATTTGAAAGAAATCGGCTAACAACACTAACAGCATGAGCAATATCTGGTCTTGTGCATACCATAGCGTACATCAAGCTGCCAACGGCGGATGCATAAGGAATCTTCTTCAGTTCTTCTTTTTCTTTCTCACTTGAAGGACATTGAACTTGAAGGACATTGACTAAGACCTAATTGAAATGACTGCAAGCAGGAGTAGAAACTGGTTTTTGCAATTTGGCTCCATATTGAATCTGCTGAGATAACTTCTCGATGTACTTCTCTTGAGACAGGCCACAAAACTTTCCTTTTTCCTGTCTCTGGAAGATCTTCCATTTCCGAGTTCTGTTTTGCCGATCCCAAATCCTTCAT